AAAAATATAGTTTAAAATAACAGTTATTAGATTTAATATTATTAATAAGCTTTTTAATTTATTTTATAAAATATGATATATCAGAAGTAATGATACAACCTATATATTATTTTTGCAAACTTGTTTTTTAAAAATATGATATTTGGAATATTGACTAAATATTAGTTCTAGTAGTTGGTAACTATTATAAATAGTATTAAGCCACAAATATTAGAATTTGCTAAGATTAAAATGCCAAAATATTATAAAAATTGTATAATTTTAAAGTTAAGTGTAAGTTTATTAGGTTTATCTATAAGTGGTTAGCTATACTAAAGAATATTAATAGCAGACCAAAGGTTGTTTTGAAGTTGCTATAATTTAATTTTAGTAAATATACCAAGAATTTCTAAGTTGTTAATTTTTTATTGAAAGCAAGATATATAATATTGTAGGTTTTTTTTTTTAATCTTTAATAGTTTTGTTAATTACCTTTATTAAGTGTCTTATATATATGATTTTGTACAAAGTTGGCTTAAATTCTGGTTTAACATTCTTTGGCTCTTCTATGAGTGCCCAGAAATGGTCTACCACATTGACTAGAAATTAATCTGGTCAGAGAGCTATACCAAGCTAGCCATTAATATCATAAAAAAATGTTCTTACTTTCTTTTTTATATAATTAACAACTAAACCTAACTAAGAACTTTGTATTGTTTTTTTTTTTTTTTTTTATAATTCAGTCTTGATCCTCCCCTATACTTTCTTCATTAAACTCTTTTATCAAATTACTAACAGTATCATTTCTTAACCTATTTTCTTTCTTTTTCTTATCTGCAAAACTAATTCTATTTGTCTTTTTCTAATTCATAACTGCTTTATAGCATTTTTTTTATATATTTTTAAAGAAGCTATTCCATACTGCATTTATCTATATAGTTATAAATTTTTTAGCTTTTTTGAGAGATTGGAGAAGGCTTTGTAGTATTGTTTTGGCTTTTTCTTAAATTAGCCTCTTTATGCCTTTAGATCTATATTTTTTTTTTCTTTTATTAAATTTTTTCACAAGATTTTTGTTAGTTCTGATTTACTTATTTTCTTACAAGTTTTTTTTAAAAGCAGTGCCAGACCAAATTAATAGCTGAATCTTCTGTAATGACCTATTCTTTTTCACAAACTTTAAATGCTTTTGATTTTCTTTTTAGTCTTCATTACATAGAATATAGTATAGTTTTTTGTATATGTTTGAGCATCTCTTTGCTAAAGTTTTCAGTACTGGTAAGTTTTTATTAACATATTTGATTAGTGTTGCAATTTCTCTATTTGTTTTCATACTTGTATATCTGACTCTACTTTGATTTTCAACTTTCTTTTATAATAATGACTAGTTGTACTCTTCTTTTTTTTTATTTAATTCTAATTTTTGAACAGTTGATGTAAATCTCCATTCTAAGCTAACTTTAAAGTCTAAAATATCTTTGACAAATTGTCTTGTTGACTCTTTTATAATTATTTTTTTCTAATAAAGTAATACATTTAAATTAGATAATAGCATATTTATAATTTTATCTTTATTCTTTATACTACTTTTATCTTTTGTTATTTTATCTATTCTAGTATTCTATTTATTATAACTATGTCTCTTTACTTTAATTAATTCTAACTTTAATTTCTTTAATTTGAGTAACTCTATTATACTTTTTTTTCAAGTTGTAATTCTTTTTTTTAATTCATTGTCTATTTTTTTTAAGATTTTTCCCTCTATTAAGACCTAATATTGCTGCTGTACTATTTGTATAGATCTTAATTATTCTTTTTTTTAGTGTTATTAAAAGTACTAATCAAATAGCTAATAACTCTGCCTTTGTTAATTATAGGTACCTATTACATTTTTATTAACTACTTTTTCTTTTTCTGCATTAACTTATATTCAGCCTGCTTTCATATATTTGATATCTGAAGCATTGCTTATTGTTAATTTCTTGATCAAACCATCTATATAAAAGATAAGTTCTTTATTTGGATTTAATTAGTTTTTTTTATTTTTGAAAATAAGAATTTTTTTTAGTTCTTTGCTTAGTTGCTGTTTTTTGATTAATTCTATGTTTAAATTATAACATATTATATCTTTAAGCTGAGTTTCAGATTCTTTTATTTTAGTTATTCTTTTTTTGTTACCAACTATGTATCATTTCTTTGTTTATTATAAGCAATGACTCTTTATCTTTTCTAATAAATTTTGATAATAAACCTTGAACTTTTTTTCTGTTACTTTATTTTTTACAATTTTATAGTTTTTCTATATAATCAAGACTACATCTTTCATATTTTTTAAGAATTTGATCTGTTTTGCCTTCAACTGACTTTATCTTCTAATACTCTGTAAGTACTTTTTTTAATATACTTGTAACTATTTCTTATTGTTAAATTATTAGTTTTTTTTTCTTTTAATAATTTTAGCATTATCTATTTTTTTTTTATTGTTCCTTAAATAACTATCAAGTGATGTTTGAAATACCTTTTTGTTTTTATTTGGTAGTATGTATTTAGATTTTAGTTGTTTATTATTCTTATTTTCTAATATTATTTTTTTAATTTTTTTAAACCAGCTAACTGTTCTACTTTTGCTTAATTTTCTTTTTAATAATTTAAGTTGATATCAAAAAATCATTTTATTATCTGCTTTATTAATAAGCTGATTTATTAAAATTATGTTAAGTTTTCTAGTACTAAGGCTATCTAAAAGGTGAGCTTGTTTTTTAGTACTTCTGTAATCCTTATTTCTTTATCTTTTTCTTTAATGTTTATATTGTTGAAATAAAGTAACATTTACAAATCTTTTGTTTTTAATATTGTTTAATATGTCAAATTATTTTTTCATAGATTGCTGCATATTTTTAATACAATTTTATACCAATTTTTCTCTGTTGTATTAACAAGCAGTAGGCCTTGGTTTACTCTGATTTTTGTAAGCATTTTCTTTGACCTAGTTGAATTAAGTCTTGCATGTAAACCTGTAATTTGTTTTATCACAAGTTGATTCTATAATGCATTGCAGTTGCCTATATTTCTGTATATAATTATGCTATTGCTTATTGTTTTTGCAATACCTATTATTAGCTTTTGTATAGCATCTATTACTATTTTTAACAGCTTCATGATTTGGAGCATATATATATTAACTTTGGTACTATGCACATATTGTTAATATATGATACTTGTGTGCCTATTATTTTTTTAGTATTTAAAAATCTTGTTGTTGAATATACTAATTCTTTTGCTCTTGACTTGATTTGAACCACTTTAAAGACTTATTTAATATTAGTATCAGGCTCAATATTATTTGTTTTCTATTTTGTTTGTTTTGGTAATATATGAAAAAGAGTTTAATTACAAAATATCTATAATAGGACTAGTTTTAATAGCTTCTTTTAAATTAATCCTAATTTATAAAAAAAATCTTTAATCTACAAACTTTAAATAATAACACATAATTAAAAATCAATAAGATCATTCTAATTTTTTTTAAAAAAATTATTACTTATATTTTATTTTTTGCAATTATTATATATACTTTATATTTTATTTTTTAGTATTTTGTATTTAAAACTAGAATCAACCTTACTATACTTTTCAAACATCACTTTGCATTCATTATAGAAAAATTTGATACGTATATTGTAATATAAGAGTTAGCTTTTCAATAAAAACTTATATTTTTTGAAAATGTCAATATCTTAAATGTTTATTGTTTCAAAGCAAATTAGCAAAATAATAATGCATAATACAATTGATATTTGATTTTTTTTTTTTTTGAGAATACTATATATTAACATATTTCTTTATGGATTCAGTTTTTTAAACAAAGGATTGATCTTGCCATCTTTTCATCTAGCTTATTTCTTTCTTCTGAAATAGTTTTTCTAGTAATTGAAAAAGCCTATCTGAAGCAACACTTGTTGCTTGAATTGATAAGTAATTACAAGCAATGATAGGAATTCGGAATGTTGCATTTGCCATCAATATAGAGGATCAACATGACTAAGGGTATTAGCATGCCAACTTTTTTAGATGTCGGTCGCATAAAAGTGTAGTACGTATAATAAACCTAAAATGGATATAAGTAGATGTTTCCCAAAGTTTAGCAAAACAAAAACTTTGTTTTAGTGTAAAGTAAGCCATTGGTGCCGAAAAGACCTTTATTAATCAAAATAATCTTTACATTGAAATTCTTTAGAACCTTTCCAAAAAGTTTGTCGACATTCAGTCATGAGATCAGTGGTTAACATTGTTTTACATTGCTTATATTAAATCTTTTTCGGTTCAACATTACCTAATTTAAAGTAATCGATAACTTTGTTTAATATTATTATACGTATGTTATTACTTATTATCTTCTTTATGTCACTTTTTGATCTACCCTTCCAAATTTTCTCGTTGCGCCCATCTTCTAAATACTACTAAACGATAGTTACACCACGTACTATTTTTCAAAGTTGTACTGTACTCTATACCACGCAGATATTCACGATATAGTCTTTGGTTCCCTATCTAACATATCGATATAAAATACAAATAAATCTAAATATCGATCAGAATCAGATTTAAATGTTGAAAATCGATTTTCATACAATACATTTATTAAGGCCAGCCAAATCGTGAAAATTTCCTCAGGGTAATATTAGAACTTCACTTCCGATAACACACTAAAAAAAATGAATAAAATTGATAATTATGTGTGATGTTACTCTTAAATATCGACACACAAACAATCGGTTATCATTAGTATATCGATTGCATACTTAAACCTGAAATTTTCATAAAATGGTAAAGGTATTAGTATTAGGAGCTTCAGGATGCATAGGAAACTCTGTAGCGCAAGCATTTGCAAGGTCAGGTCATGAAGTCTTTGGTTTAGTTCGTAAACGTGAAAAGATTAATATGCTTGCTAAGAATGAAAGTATGCTTTGTCATTTTTTTTTTCATTTTAATTATAAATCTTTTTTAATCTAATGATCTTTTGTTATTTATTTTTACAAGTATTTCCAATTTTAGGTGATGTTAATTATTTAACCACCTGGATGCCTACAGCAGAACTATGTGATATCATAATTGATGCAACATCAGAATATAATGAACCTGTAAAACTTGTTAATACCATTCTGAATTCTTGTAATGAAATTTCTAAAAAACGAGTTGAAGCCGGTGGTAGTAAACTGACATTTATTTATACTTCAGGACTTTGGGTATATGTTTTTTACTAAATATTTATGTATATTTATATATCTATATATTTAATTATTTTAATTCAATGCATTATAGGTCTATGGTGGAGATCCGTTCTCAATAAAATCAGAACAAACACCTCTTCACACAAATCTAAAACTTGACTCATGGCGTCCTGAATGCGAAAGACAAATCTTAAATTCACCTCATATTAACGGTATAATAATTCGTCCTGGTGCTGTATATGGTAAAAGTGGATCCTTAACTGGTATTTGGTTTAAAGCTGCTATTGAAGGAAAATTGGAAGGGATCGGAAATAGAGATGTCCGATGGTCTTTTGTTCATGTTGACGATTTAGGTGGGTTTGATATACCAAAAATGATAATGTTACTAAGGTTTGCAAAAACATAGCTTAATTTTTATATTTGATGTAGCTGACTCATATGTGCAAGCAGCTGAACGCGCGGAAATCGTTAAAGGACAAATTTTTAATATTGTAAACAATTCAACCGAATCAATGGGCGATATACTGACTGCGATTGCACGGGTTACAGGATTTAAAGGTTAGTTATCTTTTAGTATGTAATTTTCATGTATTAAGAAAATAACAATGAAATATTACAATCATAGGAGAAATAAAATTTCGTGAACCTACAACAGATTTTGAGATAGCAATGACTCATACAGACCTTTTTACAAATCGTAAATCACAGACATTACTTGGATGGCATCAGAAAAAATTAGGATTTGTTGACGGAATTGAAATATGGTGGAATAGTTTTAAAGGCTGGAATGAATTATGAAATAAGACCTCAGAATCGGAATCTATGTCTTATTAAAACATAAAGTGCTCTTTACTTGCATGATATTTCTTAATACAATACGTTTTCTTGTGTGTGAACTTTTATCGTCTTATAGAAAAATGTACGTACATGCTTATCATTATGTCATATAAATTTGAATTGAATTTGAACTTCGATAATTCAGATGTTCTCTTTAGCATTTAATGACGATAACTTTTTATTTAGCATTTAGCGACGATATTTAATATAAAATAAAATAAATTATATTACTATTCATCTCTGCACTGTTATATGTCTTCATTTCAGTAGATGAGTCATTTTCAACTATTGCTTTATAAATCTAATTAGCAACCTTTGTAATACCCTCTTTTTCTTGGTTTATGTGATTGTAAATATTTCATGTTTTACTTAATTTTTGATAAATACTATTTATTGTCACGGATCATAATGAAATCGGATTAAAATGAGATGAAGGATTTCTATTTGACTTTCTAAAATCCACTTATACTTGTTTATTATAAATTCTACTTCTAAACCTTAAAAAAAAAAAGCTAAAAAAATGCATCTCAAAAATTTGTATTTTCCGGTGGCTTGTTCATTTCATTTTAATCCGTCACATTTATTAACGTTTAAGATCATTAACTTAGAATATGGTTAAATTCGGTTGTCATTAATTAATTGTTATCATGTACAATTAAAAAATTATTTATATGATTTTTATAGCCTTTAAAATAAATAATAATATATTTTTTTATCCATTTTTTTCTGCTTTTTTATGTATAATTTTTTTTTTTAAAAAAAATTGGTGTAATAATAGTTTGACTTTGAGTTAATAGGTTTCGTAGTAATACGTTTACTAATATCAATTTGATTTTATACGGTAGTAATAAATATTCAATTATTAATTATATCAGAATATAGCTTCGTACGATATAAAATTTGTCTTGCGAATAAGTACTATTTATTTCCCACAGCGGCGGGAAATAAACTATTTAACCAATGATATTTTTGAAATTTCACGAGATGATCTACAAAAATCAGCCAATTATAATGAAAGCTCGCTATGCGTAATAAATGCATCTCGCAGGGACCAAACTTTTAGCATGCATTTAGAGAACAATATGAAAAATGGATTAAGGCTACATTTAAAGAAGTGCCGTATGTAGGGAGGTTGCATTTAAATCCTGATTATATTTAAAATTTTAATTATTGTCTAACAAAAAAAAAAAAAAATTCCTTATGAAACTTTAGTATTAACTATGCCCCACCCTAACTTTTTTAAAAAAAAAATGTTATTACAATATTATCGTTAAAGACTCAAGTAAAGTTATACCAAAATTTTTCAAGAAAATTATTTTTGACTAATAATTGCCCATTTCATACACCAATAGTATTTTCCTTTTTTTTTTCTGTAATGTATGCAACTTTATTTTTAGTGTTACGAAAAAATTAATATAAATATCCTTAGTTTGGTCGGTCACAAAATATATAAACACTGATATTATAAACTAGAAAATGCATAAAACACTCAAAACACTTTTAATTGTCTTTATTTTAGACATATTATTTTTGTCTTTCATTTATACTGTATTATATTCCATATTTAAAACTATTCACAAACCGTCTATTTGGAAATTAACGATCATTCATACAAATGATGTTCATTCTCGTTATGATCAAATTAATGAAGCAGCTACGGATTGTTCCTCAAAACAGTTTGAACAAAAACAATGTTACGGTGGAATTGCTCGACATAAAACAGTGATTGATAAATTGAGAAAGGAGAATAAGAATTCTTTGCTTTTAGATGGTGGTGATCAGTTTCAAGGTATCTATATGTTTAAACTATCCGTCAATTCTCGTCAACTATGCAGTTTATCTAAACAACTTACTATCATTAATTTTGTAGGAACTTTATTTTTTACTTACTATAACGTAAGGTCACATTAAATATCTTTATCATAATTATGTAAAAAAACAAAAAAACTAATTTCAGGTTGTATTTTGTTCAGGGAACGATAAATTCCAATGTTATGGTATATGTTTGTGTGATTTATTTATTTTATTTTTTCTTGTGAGTTCTATTTTCATTCTCAATCTATTCATTTTTTTTTTTTTTTTATTGTAGAATTTACTCGAATACAATATCACGGTAAGTTTTAATGAACTTTCATTTTGATTTATTTGTATTAATTTATGTTTTATTGTCAATGTAGGCAATAGGAAATCATGAATTTGATAAAGGCCCAGAAACACTTGCCGCTCATCACTCACGATTGAATATGCCAATCGTATGTGCAAACATCAATACGACATTAAACCCTTTACTTGGTGCTAACATTAAACCATATCACATCTTTAAAGAATATAATCTAGGGGTCATTGGTTATATAACTGATGTATGTCACATATGCCATTTTATGATATAATTTATTATTATTATATTTTTTAAAAAAAATTATTTACTCTTGATTTGTACTTTATCAAGACAACTGGAGGTATTTCTAATGCGGGTCCAACATTAGAATTTTATGATCCAATACCAATAGTTCAACAATATGTAAATGAACTTCGTTCCATGGGAATCAAACGTATTTTAACCGTTTCTCATAACGGATATGGTCCTGATAAAGAATTAGCCGCAAATACTTATGGTGTTGCAGTGCATATTGGAGGTCATAGTCATACTCTTCTATCTAATGATACTACTTCTAATGATTATCATTTAGCATCGGGTCCGTATCCTACTATTGTCAAGAATGCTATAGGTGAAGATACTTTGATTGTTCAGGTATAGAATTTTTTTTTTTTTTTAAACAAAATTTCTTTTTAAATATGATAGATTCAACTAATATTATTGGTATAATTGTGAAGGCATTTTGGGCAGGAAAATATATAGGACATTTGGACGTATCATTTGATAAGAATGGAAAAGTAGTCAACTATTCAGGTGCCCCAATTCTCATAGATCAATCAATTCCTCAAGATCCTGAAATAGCTGACTTGGTAAAGCAATGGAGAGAACCGTTTGATCAGTATACAAAAACAGTGGTTGGTAGAGCTAATGAACCATTTGATCAATCATCATGCCAGAGGAATGAATGTACAATGGGTAATCTAGTATTAGATTCTTTCTTATGGTCTCAACGAAAAATTAGTAAAGTAAATGCAGCATTCTTAAATTCTGGTGGAATTCGAGCTGGATTGATGAAAGGAAATATTACTCGTGAAGATATTATAACTATTTTACCATTTAGTAATTCTTTGGTAATTTTAGACATGAGTGGTCAGAATATCACGGATTTGTTGGAAAGTGCGACAGGAAGGTGGAAAAATATAATTTCTGGCAAAAGAGTCACTAGTTTTATACAATTATCTGGTATCAGGTTTAAGTATAATAGTAGTAAACCTGTATTTAAGCGAGTATTGGAAGTTAACATACAGAATAGTGATACCGAAATATTTGAGCCATTAGATCTTAAAAAAAATTATAAAATTATTACTGTCGATTTTGTTGCCAATACCGGTGACGGGTAATGTTTATAATTTTTTAAATTTTTTGTATTATTAGTCTTTGATATATATATTTTTTCTTACTTTTATCATTATATAATGATATATAGATTACTTCCATATCCTATTCAAGATTTAATTCCTTTAGACAGCCCAGACGTGGTATTAACAAATAACATTCAAGATAAAAAAGTTGTTAGTCCATATTTAGATGGCCGTATTCAAGATGTTGCCCATATCACTATTCACAGTACTTTATCTCCTCATGAGCCTATTCATTTTGGTTATTTTGATGATGATAAATTAAGTGATAATGTGGAAATCAAGATGAAAGGTGACATAAAACCAGGTAGACAAATTGTAATTAAAATTGATGGTTTATGAAATTTGTTGCCAATATTTTATTTTACCGTTGTGTATTGATGTGTTAATGTATTAATGTATTGAATAATTAAAGTTTACATATCGACATAGAAATGGTCATAAATTCTTAGTCGTGGCATTTACTAATTTCCCCCAAGTTTCGTTTTTGACCAATCAGAGAGCAATTTCAAACTATGGATTTATCTTTGGTGCAAAATTTTAGTATAATACCGCTCAATAAAACATAACGCAAAACCCTAACTGAGATGTCACATTTTGTAGAAACTTGGGGGGAAATTAGTAAATGTCTAGTCGCGTCTGCCTTTAATTTTTTTTGGTTAACTAATTTCCACTGTCGAAATATCAAAAATATTCTACTCTACTCAGTATAAATTCTGTTCTTACATAACATATACTACAATTCTCGCTTAAAATGATTAAATGTGGATTTATAAAGTAGAAACTGATTTTTTGGATTGTTTTTAAATTTTGGTTATCTTGAAATCTGATTAGTCAGCGAAATTTTTTAAGTTGGTAACGCTAGAATAAGTTTACCCGAGGCAAGTCGCATCCGTGTAACTTAACATTAAAAAAAAATTTATGGTAACTTAAATTTTATGGTAACTTAATACCGTAACTTATTACTAAAATCTTGAAATAACGGGATGGACGTTATTTTAAGTTACGGCCTGAATTAAGTTTAATTAGGATCATAACTCAAAATAATGCCTATCAAATATAACCCAGACTTTATTTTTGTCAAAAAATACAAAAAATATATAATTATTTATGAGTGTTTGTAAAAATTAATAGTTATATGTGTATTATTAATTTATAACTTAAATAAAATTTTTGAACAGATTTATCAAAAAAAAAAAGTGTTCCAAAAAAAATATACATCTCATAATAGAGATTTTTTTTTTTCATAAATTTTCTTGAAAAATAATTAATCAATAAAATAAAACTTTTAACCCAAAATTTCTTCAAAATAAAATTAAGCCTTTTCATTATTAACTTCGTCATGTTTGACTTCAACTACTTCTTCAACTGTTGCTTCACCATGTTTTCCAGTAATATCCAAAATGACACCTTTAATTACTCTAAAAACACTTTGCCTTGCCTCGACCACCTATTATAAAAGAAATAAAATTAATTCAAAAATTTTTTTTTACAATAGTTATAATATTTTTTTTAAAAAATATATATATAATAAATTACTTACCGGAAAGATGGAAACAGCAACAGTAGCACAAATAGCCCAAATCATACTTATAGCCACCCAAAAAGTGAAGAAAGGTTTAGAGAAAACATATTTGGAAAAGTACATAGGTAATGGCCAAATGACAACTAATATGAGAGTTAAAATAATACTACTCCAAAGAGCAAATTTAAATGCTTTTTTTAATTTATGAGGATCTGTATCACTTTGATCAACATGTTTGTAATTTTCATCAATTTCATCATCGGTTAAAATTTGTAATTTTGTACGAGTAACATCAAAGTCGAAATTATCAGGGAAAATGAATGACCAGATTAAAGTAATAATCAATGGAACGAAGATGGATACTCTGGATTTAACATAAAAAAAGTCAAGTTATTGAAAGTTTCACACGAATAATATATATCATATATATATATATTTATACATACAAGTTTCCAGCCAACATAGGATAATTGTCACCAGTAGATTTAATAGTAAGTTCACCATAAAGTTGTTGAGCGGTAACTAACCAAGCGGTAATTCCACACACGACACCAATAACTGAAGAGACAATGGCAGCCATAGCAGATTGTTTTCTCCATGTTATTGCAAATGCCACGGGAAATACAGCAGGTGATGATATTATACCCATGAGTAAGTACATATACCCCAACTTTACACCAATTAAATTCAGAATGCTAGCAAGTCCACCCATAATTATACCAAATCCAATAACGGAATAGTGAGAATGATTAATTACTTGACTTCCAATTGCCTAGTTAATAAAGAATTAAAAAAAAAAAAAAAAGATAAGTTATTATTATGAATAAAACAAAAGAGATGAAAAATAAGGAGAAAATAAGAAGAGAGTATGTCTTACACCAGAATGAATATAAGTACGATATATATCATAAGTATAAATAGAAGATACAGCGATAAGTTCAGCTGAGGAGGCAGAACTATACAAATATTATTAACATAACATTAGTATAAGGAAAATATTTCAAGACAAATGAGGTATAAAACACTTACGTGACAGCCATGAAAACAAGTACTAAAGCAGCAAAACCACCAGCTGAACCCATGATATTACTAGCAGCCAAAGGAAGTACCAATCCAGCAGAGACATCACTATCAGTCAAATTTGAATTACCCAAAACAGCGACACCAGAAAGACCCATTGTAGTGGCCAAAGTAAATGGAATTGCAAACCAAGCTAAACCACCAATCAAATAAGCATGAACGGTTGAACTTGGTCTTGAAGCAATAGCTCTTTGCCAATATGCATTATCAACAAATACAGTTCCGAAATTTCCAACAATATTGATAATACCAAAAATTAAACCTTGTAATGAGTTCATTGTCAAATAAGAGCCCCCTTCATTACCATCTACGGGTTTTACTTTAGAAGCAGCCTCAAGAAGGTCGTACATTGCGTTAGGAGAACCAATTTTAGGAGAAGTACAATAGACGGTGAATAAAAAGGAAAGAAGGACGATAAAAATTACGGTGGTATGAACATAATCCGTCAAGAAGGTTGCTTTGATACCACCAAATAAGGTATAAACAAGCACACCAAGTGGAAGCAAGAAACAAGAGGCGTAGATATTGACACCAGTAAGAGCCTCAACCACAGCAGAACCACCAAGTAGCAACATAGCAGTTACGATCACTATTTATCATAAAAAAAATTCATATAAAACAAAACACACACACATATATATATATATATATATATATATATATATATATATAGGGGTTTTTTTAATATCAGATCAAAGTTATAATGATAACTTACTGTTTGTAGCCAAACCAAAGCATAAGAACACAATATGAGCAGCTTTTCCATAACGGACATTAATAATTTCGAGGAAAGTATGAGCATTTGGAGCTTTTCGTTTAAGTTCAATTGCCAAGATGGCAAAAAGTAAGACCTTAGTGATGAAAGAATAATGAGAGGAAGGTTAGAATCACATGATCAGTGTTAGCATCAGTAATGTAAACGACAAAAAAAATTACTTGAATAGTAGCACCGGAAGCATACCAAAAGGGTCTGAATATGATTTTAAAAAAAAATTAGTAAGGTAAACAAATAAAATATGAGAAGGAAAAAAAAAAAGGTAGATATTTTAATACCCAGAGACACCATATTGGTACGCGACTGTAGAAGATTGTAGTAAAGTAGCAGCCCAAGTCCATGATGATACAATAGCAGAAGCAACTAACCCAGTTCTCACACTACGATGAGCAGTCATAAACATTTCACTTGTTTGAAATTCTCTTAGATAACGACTTTGTGCTAATGTCAATAATGTCATTACGACTGCGAAGAAACCACCAAAACCGAGGACTAAGATTATATGAAAAATGAAAAAAAATTTTCATTTAATTATAACTCAGAATGAAATCGCAAATTATAAAAATCAGGTAATTAACATTAACAAAAAGATATTTACTAATTCCCCAACCAACACCTTGGTTAAGTATAGGTTCAACCATTTTTCAAGATACTTAGATGAATTCGAATTAATAAATAATAAGTAATTAAATGATATTAAGAAAAGCTAATATTTAATCTTATCGTATATAAAATTTGAATAAATAAATTTTCATAAGATACAATAAAAGTATCGAAAGGAGATTTCAAAAATTCGTTATCAACCTCAGATTTCAGGACTAAAGAAATCTGATGAGACTTTTCTTTTTGGTAAACGGACACTATTTATACTGACATCTATTTTTGAAAGAGATAACTAAGTTGTGAAAGAAAACATGCAAACATTGTGTAAGCATCGGAAAAGAACAGATTATTTTTTTTTTATGTGGATTAATTTTGTTTTTTGAATAATAATAATAATTTTATAAATCAATTTATATAAATTAATATAATACATAAAATAGGTATCCGAAAATTAAACGGTTAACAGATTGATACGTAAAACGACTATCATACTTAAAAATGCACAGGAACAAAATGTTAATAATAGTAATAGTAATAATAATATTATTATTATTATGATTATTATTATTATAATGTAATTATTATAATGTAATAATAATATAATAGAATGAATATCTTAATGCGTAACGGTATACGTACGTACGTACATTGATTTCCTTACATAACCCGATATATTATTTTAAGGTATCGTCATTGAAAAAAAAAAACATCACAAGACGTGGTTCAAATTTTAATGTTTATCTGAAAACAAAATCCTTTTGATGCTAACATCTGAAAAAATTTGTGTACCACTTTTGATGCCATTGTGTAAACAGAGGTGAAATAGTCATCCCGATCTTGCAGAAATGTTTTTTGCAGAAATGTTTTGTATAACAGATGATAACATACATTAATATAGTAATATACTCTTATAAGTATTTATGAAGTTATGATTACGGCGAATTCATTACGTACGAACATACATGTTGTATGAATTTATCAGGTACATATTTGTATGTACGTGCACAACTTTATCTTATTATTGAAAATGTCTTTATAAATTTTTTACTTATATTAAATAGCGATAGGAAAATATCGAAATTGTGTGTTGGACAGCTATAAACTGATTTAATAGTCTGTTGAATTTATTATTATGTAGGAAAATAATTGACAGGTCTTTGACACATATGGAGGTATCTAATGGAATTATTATGTGTAATAAATGAATTTAAAAATTGTTGAAAATTTCAACGTTGACAAATAATTTCTTTATCTGGTATCAATTTTGCTTACATTAGCTTTGCGCAGATGACCGGAACGTGTCGGAACGTAAAAGTACGAACTTTTGTGCTTACAAGCACACATTCTTTGGAAGCTTATCAACAAATATATAACTTGTAAAGACATTTAAATCTGGTAAATACATTACCATTAAGATCCTATATAAGTTGTGTAATTTTAGCGATGTGAATGTAACCGTTACAAATAACGAGATGTGACGTTAATCATAACCATTATAAAACGATCAGAGGAAGGATTACCCTAAAACTCTTATCGCTATCGTCAGAAGATAAGAATATGGTTTCGGAATTTCTTATATTGTCATTTTCCGTTAAATGAATGACAAATTAGGAAATTTTTCATTATCATGTTTATGTTTGTGGAACACAAAATCTTGTATTCAGTTTAATGTGTACGGATAAGTGAAGCACGTGATATTATAAAAGAATAAGAGAGAAATTGACTTTTGAATTCTTGATATGGCAACGTAATATCGTCTTTAATATCGCAAAATAATTAAAAGACAATTTTAATCTAAATTCCCACGTTACTTTACCTTGAAAGTTTGAACACTTAGAATTATAATTACACGTGATAGAGTTGGAACGAATATAATCTTGAAAAATTTTCCTTAATCTTCCTTTTTGCCGAAAAAAAATTAACGCAATGCAATGTTATTTGAAAGTAACGCAAAATAAATGAAATCATTTTATACTGTATATACCTAGAAATTATCCGACTTTTACAATCAAACGGGTAATACTTTATCCGTGTATCGTGTGTTACACGTGATCCAAATAAAATCTTAGCGTATCAACTTACATACTGATACGTGCATACGTACATACATAACTTTTGGATCCATCCCCTATCAATTAACATTTTATTATCTAAATACTTATTAATAAAATAAATAGCTTCACACATAAGGTTACTAAAGATTTATACGTAAAAACAAATCTATTGTAAGAATTAATTAAAGAAGCTAATTTTAAAATATAACTGGTATATAACTCATTCTTATTTGAAACGCATGTGATAGCATGAATAATTATGCAGTCGCATAAATAACAGATAACGACAATTGATGAATTATAACATTTTTACTAAAAGTGTTTTTTATCATTATAAAATTTCATCTGTTTATTTGATACTTTATCAAGTGAATTTCCGGAAATTAAATTAAAATGTTATTTCTTCATCTTGTTGGTTTTAGATTATCATTATCAGTTATGCGTATTAAACTAAACCAATTTGGTACGTAAGCTAGAAAAAGGAATAATACAAGTTATCATAACAAGGAATATCTTTATCCGGTTTTATCCGTTATAGATTTTGTTTTTGTATATTGTTTTATTGTTTTATTTACTTTTATTTGCGGATTTTCATTTAATACGAGATAGCTTAATATCAAAATTTATATCGCTATTTAATAAATAGCTATCATTATCTAGATTTAGAAATAGATGTGCTACCGATTTTAGTTCACCTTGCGTAAGCCACATAGACCTTGGATATTAAAGTGTGACGTGGGTCGTGTGCATGTGTATGTGTATGTATACGCGACTATTAGCATGCATGCATTATTACTATTATAGGCGTGGATGCGCGACCTACGCATATATGCTAATATTTTTAATTATTAATAAAACCTGAATTAGATTCTTTCCTTAAATACCTTTTAAATACTTGCTTTTTCTCCATTTTTATCATTAATTTTAATTGCTATACAGCCTTTTATTTTGTTTTGTCAAGCTCTGCTTGTGTTAGACGTGTTATCTTTATTTGTTTGTATCAATTTTTAAGTTATAATAAGTCCTGCTTTATTTTGTCACCTATTTTTAATTATTATAAACGGAGTTTCGTATTTTAGAGTTTATTCCCCGTATGTCATCATCATTATAATCATATATAAATTGGTTAATTCGTACTTATAAACTGAGTTTTGTAATTAAAGTTTATCTTCCGTATATCATCATCATTGTAATGTATATAAATGGTCATCTCTTACTTATAAACTAGTTTCGTATTTAAAGTTTATTCCCCGTATGTCATCATTATTACGTATATGTTTGACTTTTGCCTCAGGTGATAACTGAGGCACTTCAGGTGTTAATTGTTTGGCCGGCATTAACTGATCGACATCAATTGGCCTAAACTAGATATTAATAATATTCGAACTTTTGATGTACGTATTTGTATTGTCAAAATAATTGCAGAACTGCGCAAGCAATTTTGGAGGCTAAAAATGTTGGTATCTACTTACCGGCAATCCGGTTTACAGGTGTAAGAAATAAATTAATTAATCTCATAAATAACAAAGTTTTAGAATCTTGCACAGCGAATGTTAACACTTAATGATACGATAAATGATGTTTGTAGTAATCTTTGATTGGTGAATGTCGGTCGCGTTCTTAAAGTACAGAAGTATCCGGAAAATTGATTTACATTAGCCAATCACAATTGGAGATTTATGTACAGAATTTCCTTTTTAGGATTGTGTTTTGAAAAAAATAAATGACGCAATTGTTTTTATGAATAATAAAATTATTTTAAAATAAAACCTTTTAGTTAAAGATTTTACCTAAGTTTTGAAATCAAACTTTACCATGCCAGCAGGTCAGTATTATATTTGTACCTGATTTCGGGAACAGAAGGTTGTTTACTTTAGTTTAAGACGTCTATTAATCAGTTATGTACTTTCTTTCCTTAATAGATATATACCGGAACACTTGTGATTTATTACTTTGTACTGGTATGTCTTATCTAAGTAAACAACCTTAGCTTATTATGAGGAATTTCTGTCTGTCTGCACTGGTTTTCAGAAATTGTCAAATCAGCTATTAGTATTACTGCTTGATAAGGGTGTTTAACTAAGTAATGCTATTAGCAGCTTTATTTACATATAGGTGTTTTTAGTCAGACTTGAATAATTTTGGCAATTATAAAATTTTGTTGCTTAAATAATTAATATCGTCAGATAATTGCCAAAATAAAATGATTCTAATTATAATATTTAACTTATCTGGATGAAGAATTTAAAGAAGCTTGAACTATTATAGCAATTATAGAATTAGTTTAATTATTAAAAAAAATCATATCGTCAGATAATTGCTAAGAACTTGGATTAAAATTTTGACAATTATAAAATTAATTTATTACTAATAAAAATTAAAATTGTCATAGGTTTATGCTGGCTTGAATAAGGGTGTCTAAGTAGGCTTTCGAGTTTTTACTGGCCCTTTGGCAAGTGAATAGATCCAGTTACTGGCCTTGTGGCAAGTGTTAGTACTGTACTGGGTTTTTGGAAATGTCTAGTCAGAATTTGAAATTTCACGTAATAAGCAATATAATATTTGACTACTGTATTCAATATTTATTAACTTTTTTTTTCTTTTTTTTTTTAGTTATATAATAAATTATCAGTTTCCGAGTTACATTTAATTTACTACAGTTAAAGCTTGATATAGCGAAGTCCACATTCTGACTTTATTTTCTGCTATATAGAAATATTTGATTATTAGAAAACAAATTTATATGTTTTGACATATTTATGATGTAAAAAATTTTTGTTATTTCAAAAGTTTCATTCTACAACGATTCGTTGTTTCGAGCATTGACTAAATGAAAAATATGCATTTATGTATTGATATTATTAGTATAAATATATATACATGTATATTGTAATTAAATAAATTTAGTAAAATATGTTTGTTAATTGTTGTACTTTTTTGGATGTATAGATTCAGTTGCTGTAAATTTTCAGCTATCCTAGAATTTAAAAAATAGCTATAAACACCGATTATTTGGGGAATGGACTAGAAAAACCGTCCTTCGGCGCTTTTTAGTTAATTTTAAGACTTTCGATTTATATTAAGGTATCGGTTCTTATTTATATGAAGGGGTCCGTATTATTTCACCGACAATCATTTCGCCGACAGCTCATTTATTCGACATCATGCCAAGTGACAATTTGCTAAAAATATATAACAGCGACTAATAAAATGCTAATCCTAACCTTATGTGATGTCGGTCAAATGAGCTGTCGGTGAAATGATTGTCGGCAAAGTAAATGTCACCGAAACATTGTTACACCCGGAACTACCTCTTAAAAGTCCGGTATAACGGTTTTAAATGGTTGATAGCAAATACCAATTTATGCTTAAGTAAAAAAAATATAGGGTTTATTGCGTTTACGCTTTTAAGAGGTTATGTGATTTGCAAATACGAAAGAGATAAACGACTAAATGTATATGAGGATACAAGTAGTCGTATAAACAAGTTTATTGTATGTTCAAGTTACTCTTTATTGTTGAGTTGTTGAGTTATAGAACTGTTTTTCTACAAGAGCAATATTCAAGCTTATTTATACAATTCGAACATTATAATCTCGTTAATATTAATATACTGTGTTTCGGAAATCGGCGAGTCTATCGCTAAACTAATCCAACTCTCGCGTAACCTACGGCGGCTAAGTCGAAATAGGCGCGTTAGGTTTGGCTGGTGGTTTATCCGTAAGTAAGTACTTGTCTATCCTCTTTGAGCCTTTCCTTCAACCTATTCTCGTACTAATCTAGTCTTCTCTTTGTCCACCTCAACCGGGATTACTCCACGTCGAATCGGGGTTGAAACTCTTCTCTTACGTTACGGTCTTGTCACGTGACTTAAGGCGAGCGATCAATGGCGGGTTTAGTGATATATGGGCGAATAATTGTGCCAGTAGTGGGGTTAACGATATAAATTAGTTTATTATAGAACTTGTATTTTATTATGGGTCGGATATTTATTGTTATTAGGGGATTTATTGGTATAAGGGACGATTTTGTAGATTGTCTTTCCCAAGGCAAAAATGTCCTTTATTTATAATAAACGTTTTATTTACATTTGCAATTAATTTCTTTCATAAACGTAATATATTTCTTATACTCTATATCCTAACTAAAATATAATAAAAAGCTAATATTTCATTTAACTCATATGTCGGCGAAGTAGTATAAGCGAGTAAGTAACATAAGTGACATTTCCGTCACTTTCGTGTGACCTTGGATCGGGTCAGGATCGTCGCTTCGATACGGACACCCGTGACCCCAAAAATCGGGCTCACAATACTCATAATGTTACCAATTATTTCTAACATTACCCAAAGCTATTAACATTGTATATTCATAGTAGCTATATATCGCTATATAGTGCTATATAGCGCTATTAAGTGCTAAATAATGTTAGTGTTACATTACTGCTACATATCACATGTATGAGGATTAACAACATTCAACTCTTTTTATAATGTTCTGAAAGAAAAAAATAAGGTCGTTATAGAAAACTACTATGTTTTATTAAACATAATTGCACTTTTTATACTGAATTATTATTAAAATTTTAAATTTTTGAGTTAGTGTTCGAAATCGTTACGTGATTATAGTGATCACTTGCTCTCATAAAAACAGTGCCCACTACTCTTCAGACAATAAAATTAATAAAATTTTTTATATTTTATAATTTTAACCAATCAAATTATAAAACTTTGTGTAACAATTATGCAAATAAAGTTTAAAATATTCAGATCACATAACTTTTATAAAACTTTTACTAATAAAATTAAAAAATTTTAGGTAAAGCAATTTATATAATTAGCTTTAGTAACCAACTTGATTCTGAAATTTTGCATTTATTTAGGCAAATGACTGTATTAAAATAAGTTTGAATCTGTTATATAATTTTAATAAAAACCTGTAGTAATAATATAAAAAAATTCTTGTTTGTATTTACAAAGTAATCATGTTAATGAAATTTAGAAATATGTAGCTATATATATTAAAATTGATCATTATAATAATATAATTAAAAAATATTAATTCACTTTGTTTTGGAAACTACTTACATTTTTTACTACTGTATTTTATTAGAAATAGTTAGTATGACTTTTATTTTTTGATCACATAAAATGCAATTAATTACTATCTTTTTTTTTCCTTCATTTGAGCAGTTTTGTTAGTCACTTTTATTATGTATTTTTGTATTACATATATACAAATTATTGTATAAATTCTGACTTAACATTACACAGATGCTTCTATGAGTTCTTATAAACAATCTGCCTGCACTGATTGTCTAACTTCATAAGAAATTAGAATATGTCAGAAGTTATATTCAACTACTGCTTTACAATAGGATGTTGTTAATCTGATAATATCTTCTTGTAGAAAAATGAACAAAAACAAAAAAAAATTTATATATAAAAAAAATACAAAAGTATAAGGGAAGATGATAAAAGATACTATATAAGAAATAAAAGGAGAAAGAGAAAAAATAAAAAAAGAAAAAGAAGAAATATATGTAATTCTCACTATATGACTATCAGATAATTACAATTATAAGCCTGTGTTAGGCAATTAATTATTATCTTTAAATTAGACAAGATAGAAAATTAAAAGTTTTATTTATTAAAAATCCAAAGTTTAAAACCAGTTCAAACTTAAATTTAAATTAATATACAAATTAAGTTGTGATTAATTGTAAATTATAACTTTTTTATAATATTGTATCACAATTATAAATACTAGTAAAACTGGTAAAATTTTGGTAAATGATTGTAAAACTGTTAAAATTAGTGAAATTTAATATAGCTGCCAATCAGATTTTAGATAGTTAGTAGTTTTAACAAAATTGTTTAGTTATACTAATATAATTTTATTATTTTAAGCAAATTAATAGAATTAATTATTGTTATCATTATTTAGAAATTAGTTTCTGTCTCTAATACTATCTTAAAAAAACAATTTTATAGTAATAAAATGTTAATAAAATGCTTATATTTACAAAAGTTTGTATTTTATTAGTACATTATTAGTCCTGTTAAAATGCTTATTTTTAGCAAGTTTAATTTTGACAGATTTTTGCAAAGTACATTTAATTTTAAAATAAAAGATACAAATGAAATGTATGATTTTATCAGGTATTATAAATAGGTAGTTTTTTTATTGGTTCATTATAATGTAATTTAAAAAAATTATAATAAATTATAGTTAATTATATATCTTATTTATTATACATATTATAGCTTTTATAAAACTAAAAATTTCACTGGCTAACAAATAAATTCTTTTATAATTTAAATTTTTATTAGCTAAAAATTTTTTTGAAATAACATTCTGTTCACATTTCAAAAACTTAATATTTGATTTAGAACACATCTTTTTAATCAACTTATATATCTGTATATATCGAAGTGCTGTTAGCACCTGTAATTTGATATCAAATAATACATAAATGGAATAAAATCATCACTTTAAAAAGTTTTATAACCAATCAAATCTCAAAATAAGATGCAATATAACATAATTAAACCAAATACAAAAATCACTCATAACCAAATGCAAAAATTACACATAACTAAAAATTTAGTATATAAAACTGTTTTTTGTATATTAATTAAAAGTTTTTCTTGTAATATTTTGCTTTAAGAGATATTCTTAAACATTAATCTAATAGCAAAATTCTAACCTACTGAATTTTTACGGCAAAATCATTTATTAGCTCTTTTTCAAATTAAGTAATCCGAAATAATGCTCCAGGAGTTATTTTTGGGACAATACGGATTTGTAGAATTGGTCATTTATAATTTTATCATAAATTTTACAATTCCTGTATTATTAACGCTAGTTATGACCAGTTAAATAATTATTTCATTTAATGCACATATTATATGATATATCTTGTTTATCTAAATAACCAGAACATTGATTAGAGTGTCCAGGGTACTGCTGCCTTAACTGGAAAATTCTGCTGCAATTATCGTTAAATTAGAAAATTCTGCGGTGACGTATAAATAATACTTTAAAAACCAAAATTATGACAAAAAGAAATTCTAAAGAAAATTTCAATCTCATTACAATAGGCATATTTAACACTGATCATACGTGCAACGTAATACTATATTTATTTTTCGAAGATTAGCGTTAGCGTAAATTTAAATTTACACTTACAGGTTTTATTAATTTGCGTTATCATATCATAACAGTGTTAAGAAGTTATTTTGGAGAGCAGACTACTTAAAAATAAGTTAACTCTGGCCTTAACGAATTGTTATACAGATGAATTAAATATGAATACAATAATCACGGGAAGTTAGATAATATTAAGAGTCCTAATCAGTAATTCTATTTTTTTCTGAAGTTATCTTTCTTTAAGGTCTTATTTAAGCACATTCTACGATTCTATTAAATTATTTCTACAAACGTATTTAAATTCGTACTAACAGATTTTAAATGCTTCTCGAACAAAATTTATGACCTGATCAATGTAGTGTTACAAACTGATAAACAAAATAATTTATATAAAAAAAAATATGGCTAAAATTTAAAATTTAGTCTGAGATTTAGGATTTAGTTTGGGATTTGGAATTTGGGATTAGTTTAGGATTTAGGGTTTGGGATTTTAGTAAAAAAATCAAATTTAAAACTAATCAATACTCTAACCTAAACCTAAAAGGTTTAGAAAGGTTTGGGTTTCGGTACCCAACTTTAATTCTGAATCATTCATTGTTCTCGATTCTGGGTTTTTAAAAAAGGTTATATATTGAATTTGGATTATAATCATTTTTTTACATAACCAAACTCCAGACTTTTGTTTAACATTAGTATATTAACTTTCTAGGAATATTACTATTTGAAATTGAAAATGAAATAAATGCATAAATCCATAAAGCAAATTTTTACAAGATGCAATATAACAGCAAGAAATTTCAATATTCTATTTTTCTCTTTTTAAAACGAGCAAGTTCCAAAACCTTATCTTTATCTATAAATTCGACTATTTCTATCCACCTTTTTTCATAATTACCACCGATTTCTCCCTTTGAACTTGAAAAAGTATGAATAAAATGATTTATAATCTCTGAATAATATTCACCCAAAATTTCATATCCATTATCAGCAAATTTCATGTATTTAATTTTCTGATCTTCATATGTGATGGTGGCTGATGTTGAAGTATAACCATAATAAAGTATTGGAGTCCTACCATTAGCAAAGAATACGATTTTTACAGACCTTCTGAGGCTTTTATAGGCTTCAAGAATTGTCGATTCTATTGCCTCGATAAAGGAAGTTAGCGTTGTTGCTGCCGAATGGTTTATTTCATCAATAACGAAACTGTTTGCTGTTGAAAAGGTAGAAGTATCATCGAACGAATCGGATCGAAAGGAAATAGGAGATGATTGATAAGAAACAAAGAGATGTTGTGATGTAGGAGGGGGTGAGTTTGTCGATGATTCGGATTCAATAATATTGATTGTTGATTGGGAAGCTTCCGTCTCAATTTTGTCAACGGCAACAAAATACTGGCATTAAAGTAATTTTGTTTAGCACCGTGATACAGCAAATTTTCTTTGCCAGAAACTTACTTCATTTTCAACTGACTTCTTGGTTTCGTTTTTATCTGGCGTTAACCCTTGTACATGATTATTCAGTAAGTTGTTTTCAACTGTAGATATAGAATCATCATCATCGCTCTTCAAAGTGCGACAAAAGAAGTTAAATTTATAAATAAAAATAATAACCTTCAAAGTAATTATCAACATTATATTCAAAACCAATTATTAATGTCGTATTCAAAAATACCGACCCATTTCCTCTTTGTTGTCAATTCAGTCGTATGATTAATATTTTTAAAGAGACTATCAAAATCTTCTTGGAGTGCTTGTAAATAATTAATCACATCAATTTCTGGCTCACCCTTGTCAGTCATTGCCTGAAGTATTTAACGATAAATACTGATGCTTGAAATTAAAAAAGAATATTATATATTTAAAAAGATCCAAACCTTGTGGTATTTCATCATACAATCATGCAATGACATATATAGTTATAGTAAGTGCGTAATATCATATTTGTACTTGAACACAGTTTTCAATGATACAAAATTCATTCGTTAGGTCAACTTATACACGCTAACCCGCTACGTCGTTACTGGTAATCTGGTAACCCTTAATAATATTTTTCTAAGTTTCTGACAGAAATTTACTAAAAAACCATATCCTCACATAATTAAAAGTTGATTCAATTGAATTTATAGATTTTATTAGTTCAGTTTAAAAACTATACAATTTACTCTTATAATAATACCTTAATACTCTATTTAAAGTACCTCATGTAAAATATTTGCAAGCCTTCTAACAATTTACTTTTGTACTATACTTCAAAAAATCTATTCAATAAAGACATTTTCCTTGTAATGTACCTCCTCAGGTACATACATATACACGTGGAACGCGTAATATCCCAGTAACTATATCGAGATCACGAAGTACAATCCGCACTTTACACAGTAGTTAAAAAAATATATCCTCTTTAGATTTTAGCCGATCTTGTAAAAACATTTGGTTTTATTATTCAGTAGATATAGTAATCGATATATAAATTACAATATTAAAATAGGATAACTATTCTGGCTAATGGTTAATAAAGGTAATAGTTTAATGATTAGGAAAACGGAACAGTTATAAATTCGTCTCTAAGTTACTCTGATATTGGCGTTTATCACATGTCGCTCTGTGAGAATGATAGAACTTGCATGTTATGTATGCTTTTATTTACACCCCATGAATAGAGAAAAGTTTAAATTTCTCCTCATCTTAAATGTGGTGTTGTGATTACATGACGTTAAAATATTCTAAGAACGGATTCAATTATATCGTTATTCATAAAGTTTCTGATTAGAGAAAATGACAAAATGGTCATATTTAAGGTAAAGACAAACAAACAAAAAAAACCCCCCATATAATACTTGCTGTTTCTTTTCATCAATCTAGTTTTCTCACTGACCTTTTATTCTCTATAAAATTTTTAATAATGACACTACGACTTCCTGAAGATATCCTCAAAGAGATTTTTGAAAACCTGGAAGATGAAACCGGCCCACTTTTTTCTTCTCTATTGGTTAATCGACTTTGGTGTTTAAATGTCATACCAATTTTGTGGAAAAATCCGTTGAAAAATCAATTCAAAAAAGCCAGTGAGAATTTATTAACTTGTCAGCATCGCTGTACATTGCTTTTACGCACTTTACTTTCTTGTTTATCAGATGAATCAAGAAGCCTGCTATCCAAAAATAGACTTGAGTTACCATTTCAGATCTCTCAGCGTGCTCTTTTTGATTATCCAATGCATTGTAAAAAGTTGAGAACTTCTGATGTTAGTATGCTTGTATGGAGTGCTGTGGAAAGAAAGCAAATAAGTGGTCAACGCGGAAAATTTTTATTCTTCGTTTTGGAACAAGAACTTTATAAACTTTTCTTCTCTCGAAGTTCTGCCATCCAACAATTTACACTTTGTTCGATGTTGCATTCGATTCAACTTTTTCCTGGTGCAACTACTTCTTTAGCAAATTTATCTGTATTAAGATGCAGTACAGAGAGTCATGAATCTTTCTTTTTTGGATTGGCACAAATTTGTGAAAGGATTAAGGTTATTATTGTTGATTTTTGCGATAAAGACAATGATGGATTGAATTTCCTAATTTGCGTTCAGAATGGCGTGAACTGTTTTGAATGTAAACATGGGAGCATCCATGGCCAAGAAAATCAATGTCCTAACCTTAATATTGCCCTACAAACACAAGCACATTCCTTAAAGAAACTTGATATCATAGACAATATGGGAGGAATTTTGTTGGACACTATATGTTCGTTCATCAACTTGCGCTGTCTAAAGTTTGCGATTTCAGATGGAATATCCGATGTTGTAGTCAATAATTTGAGGAACGCCGAGATTCCTAATTTGGAAACTTTAGAGGTTCGTGGAGAACCAATTTCGGTAAACGTTTTATTATCTTTAATCAAAAACACACGAGGCAATTTTCAAAAACTTCACTTATGTGGATGGCGACCAAGTGTTGATGATAATCTTGGTATTCTTTTGCCTCTCTTGAGAAAACACTGCCCAAGGTTAAGGTCACTAAGCACCTGGATCGGAGAAGATGATTTGATAAATCTTGAACTCTTATTGAGTTCCTGTTATGAACTAGAAAGCATCTTTTTGCGTGTATATTCTAATGAGCTTATGTCACGATATGGGATCTTTAATTTGCTTAAACGAACGAATCCAAAAAACTTGCGCAAGTTGAAGTTGGAGCATTTATTTTTATTAGATGAGGAAGAAGGGCTCGAAATGTTTCTTAAAAGTCGGTCAATCAAGATGCCATTGAATTTAGAGGTTGTTGGAAATTTAATTTCGCAAGATTCATCAGAAATAATTTCGACATATAGATTTAATGGTGTGTTGAAGAATGCAAAATTATTATGTTTCGGCGAAGATTCTGCACCAGATCAACAAACTCCACATTGGAAAATTGATGTAATTATTTAAAATTAATGAAAAGTAACATTATGCTTGAGAAATTTTTTTGTCAAATATTAATAGACATTAGTATTGTGTATTACCTCCTATTTACATATTATTTTATGTAAGTAGCTTCATAGGTCTGAACCTTTACGTGATTCAAAAATTCTAAATAGAAGAAAAAATATAATTTTATGAATATGTTTTATGATAAACTAGTAATGAACGCGTATGACTATAGAATTTAAACTAATTTTTAAATTGGTTTTGTTAATGCTATTAAGAATGACAAACATCGTAAAATTGTGTAAGGATTTGAATTGTTTATTCGACTATTATATTTAGTCGATTAAGCATAGTTAATTATGCTACGACTAAAATTATTCCAATCTCTACCATCCAATTATGATCATGGTGTACTTTGCTTATAAAATGGCTGGTTAAATACATCATCCACCTATATCATTACACACTTTTAACATAAAAGATGTGATTAGGCAATACAATAGTTAAGTTTTTAGTTCTCATTATAGTTGTTAGGATAAAGACGAAATCAAATCCTTGACGAAAAACGAAACCCAAACTTGAAATGAAGGGCGAAACCTGACGAAACCCGATAAGGTTAAAACTCCTAATGAAAAGGCTAAAAGACAGTAGTAAGCTATTTTATCGTTATGGTTGTTAGTAAATACTGGTTATCTCGTCAACGAAGTGACGAAGCCAATATTATTGCGAGATCAATATCGTATTTATGACCACACTATTAGGCTGTTATTTGATGTGAATGTATGATATATCTCACGTGAGCACGTGAAATGATTGAGTCAAATCGTAGCGAAAAATGACGAAAAATGTAGTAATTTGTAATATCGTCATTTCGATGGCGTATTAAATTGGTATATTAGTAATTCTTGGTAAGTAAATCTAGTCATCTTTGGTTTCGCTATTGCATCATTAAGCTGGCTCTTTTCACCCGAGTATATGAACATATAAGTAAAATATGGTTTCAAGAGGGAAAGAATGAAAATATGTGTAACAGTGAGGAGGACAAAAATATTTTTGTACTTAAGGATTTGGCTTATAATTCAAAAACTTACTAATTAATTTATGTTTTTGATTTGCTTATATAAATTCTTATTCCTTAATAATTATATTATTTTTAGATCATATGTTTGTATAATTAGTAATTTATAATATTAAAATTAATATATAAACTTTTTTCTTAAAGATTATTGTTCATAAATAAAATAATAATAACAAATTACAATCTGGCATATCAAAGTTTAGTAATATTATAATTAAATAAATAATTATAGTTTAATAACAACTACAATATACAACATTACTAAAGATTAAATGAAGTAGAGAAACAGTATTCTGCATTTTAATCTTCTTTACAATTTTGTTGCAAACTAAAAAAAATATCAACAACAAAGATAACAGAATTTTTATTACAATACTGCAAAATCAAATAATATGTTTTGTATATATTTATACAAAAAATAATAGTATAATAGACAAGTAAAATAAAAAAAGGGTAAAACTAATTACATTATTATTTCTATACAAATAACTATTAAAAAAGTACAATAGAAGAAATCTCAAAAAAAAAAAAAGAATTCAAGTTTATTATTGAATTTTTTTAAATATGATATTATTATTTGTAATAACAACAATAAAAAATTTAAATTTAAACTTACAATAATCAATAAAAAGAAATTTTTTTATAAATTTATAAATTAATCAGTTTTTAGACAAACTTTTCTATATTTGATACATTTTCTTTTATAATAGTATAACATAAAAATATATATAAACAAACTTAATATAAAAATAAACTAGAACTTAACAAATAAAAATAATAAAAAATATAAAATTTGGTTTATAGATATAATATTAAAAAAAACAATTATAGACAAAAATATTATACAATTAGGTAGTTACCAAAAGTCTTTTTGAAAAAACTAAAAAAATTCTGAATAGGTATTTTAATAATGATAAAAAAAAAATTATACAAATATATATAGATAGTTTTAAAAAAAATTAGATAAGATATATTAAAGTTTTTTAATATAATAATTTGAACTTAACTAAAAATCTAAAATGTACTAACTTTATATTAAGATTTAAAAGAATTGATTAAATATAAAGTCTTAATAAAATTTAGTTTAAGTCATATTTTAAATATAATAGTAGTAAAATTTTTTTATAAAAATATAATTTTTTAAAAAAATTTTATAAGTTATTATAATTAAATTATAATACTAAACAGAATTTAACAATTTGTTTATAGAAGTCTAAATATTTATAAAAAATAATACAATATATTAGCAACAAATAAGAAAAATTATGATCAAGTTTTTAAACTATTATAAATAAAGTTAGCAACAAATATCTAACTAACTTTAA